ACTCCCAAGAAACTGCCTGAGGCCCAGCTCAGTTGGACAACGAAAGACTATACACTGAGGAGCTGATTTCAGCGGGGGCGTGGGGAGTGTTGCTAAGTTAGTCAAGGCCAAGAGTGGTCCACTGATGATGAGCAGGCAGCCGGGGTGGCGTTCTCAGGCTGTGGAGCTGTAGAGGATTGAGCTGGGACAGGCAGAGCACAGCCCGTGGCCCTGTGGCTGGCCTTTGACCTACAAAGCACATTTTCCCTCAGAGTTCAAAGCACCCCCGAGACACAGCCTAATTCATCTTTACCCCCAGTCTGGGGGTTAGATCCTGGTAAGGAACTCAACCAGGTCAACTTATCCAGCAGATTCCAATTCTGGTCAAAAGCCAGAATCCCTCAGAATATTCTATAAATGCAGACTTCGAGCCCCGATCACAGACCAGTGCATTGGGCCCTCCCGGGTGGGGGCCTCAGCACCCCCCAGTAATTCTGGTGAAAGGTCCAAATCTACTGCTGCCTCCAGACGGCATCATTCTGTATCTGAAGAACTCAAGCTTTTTCCCCCGGAAAATGGTCATTGGGGAGGGTGCTTTCCATGGCGAAGAAATTCCTAATTCTGGTGGTCAGAGGTTCTTCCTAAATCCAAACTATACCCCTCATGCTAACTGTAAAGTTCTCTGAAAACCTGCAGAGTGGACACAGAGGAGAGTGACATGGTGGTAATCTAACTCCCACTTCCTGAAGAGAGGTGGCAGCACAAAGGGGACATGCCTCACTCTGGAACCTCAGCAGAGAAACCGGCTTTAGCCCGAGGTTCCTACATTTGACCATGTCCCCCACCTCACCTCATGGGGCTGTAGCTACTTCCCCGTGGACACATTATAGAATCAAACATTGTATCCAGGATTCTGACTCACATTTGAGCTTTCCTCAACCTCTGCCCCAAAGGACAAGGGGTGGGAGATTGAATGCTCCCAGACTTGCCTCTTCCCTATTCCCAATATGCAGGTTAAAAAAAAATTCATGGCAGTGAGGTAAGGAGGGCCCATGTTATTTCTGACAGTGCCCCAGAGGCCGGGTCACCGCGCTTTCCCCAAGCCCTTGACTCATCTGCATCCTCCTGCCTTTCAGAACCTGGAGATGAACCTGAAGGGGAAACTGGGGTGGGCCTGTTTCACTCCCTGCGGCAAAACTGTAACCCTGGGCGGCATGGTCCAGCCTGGGGAACCTGGGGGCAGGAAGTCCATGTCCTGCCTGACCTGGCTGAGGCCAGATTCCCTCCGAGGTCAGTCCCATCTCCTCTGGGCCCAGTGGGAGAAAGAAATGCGCTGTGTGGTTTGGAAAAGGAGGAAGATGCAAAGGCCGCTGCTGCCAATGGCAGCGCCATCTAGTGTTTCAACAGCATGGGGATTTTCTGGTGAGCCTGGCGGCAGAATTTTCATGGGTATAAGCTCTGGCTCATCAGTGTGATCACAGACTCCTCAAAGATAGGGACTCTGTGTTCTCTTTGCTTAACTCAGAGCCTGGCACAGAGTAAGTGTTAGTGAAATGTGAGCTACTAGAAACGCGTGGATCATATCCCCTGGCGCCTGGACATGAGCTGGCTGGACACACGGCAGTAATGACTTGAGCTCTCATCACCATCTCTGGGACAGGCGCTCATTTTCCAGATGGAGTTGAAATGTTATACCCTGTACTGAAAAGCCAACTGTGGAGGAGCCTGGGGGCTGCTGTCAGTTCTCAGGATTCCCTGGCTGTAGCCGGCACGAAGCCACGCCCCAGAGCTTCCTTTCTCTTCCTTTATTGAACGCCCGGATACGGCCCTCCCACAAACAAACCCAAACCTCCAAACTCAACTCCTAAAGCATGTCCCAGAATCACTTAACCTCATCCTGAGTCATTTATGAAGAATCCCATTTAAATATTCAATATCCTATTGGGGATTCCAGTTTCCTGTTTGACTTCTGAGCTGTAAAGATCATCTGGTCTAGTCAACCCAGAAACGGGATGTGACCAACCTTTTTTTTTTTGTCTTGAAGAGAAGAGAATAAAAGAGACTCTAATAGAAAATATCAGAGCATGTAAATATAATAAGGGGTGAGCACCATTTCATGAAACTTTTCAGTTAAACACACTCATGAGTGTATGAAAGTTGCAAAGTCAAGTGCATTTCTTTCAGTGAGTCATAATCACAAAAAGTTTGAAATACACCGATCCCATTATCTTGTGTTACCAATAAGGAAACTAAACGCACAGAGAGATAAAGCAAGTTGCCTGAGCTCACACCACTGGTAAGCGTCAGTCCCTGGGCAGGAACTCAGGTGTGTCCTCTCTTGTTGCATCACTCTGCTCACTACAGCCTGTAGTTCTCTGGTTCTGCACCCAGAAAACACCCCTGAAATGGAACTGACCAGAGAACTGAGTGAGTCCCCAATCCCACCCGAGCTCCCCAGCCAGGAGCAAGTCTTCATCAGCTGACCCCAGGGCAGGCGTAGCTGGCAGGGATATCAACAGACAATGGGCATGGAGAGCCGGGACCTTTGGCTGAGAGCTAGTTTTGAACATGCAGCCAAGAGTGACCTTGACTTTCATCTCAAGAGCTTTTTAAGCAATCACTAAATTAGGGCAAAAAGCACTACCAGAGGTCATTTTAGGATGGATGTAAGGATGAAGAGGTGCTGCAGCAGGTCAGGAGCACTGGTGTTTCTCTGCAGGAGTGTGGGCCAGCAGAGCAGCGTCCCACAGATAAGATTCTAAGCCATGGGCTGAGACGTTGCTTGCCCATTCAGATTGCGACCCTCCCCTCTTTAGAGAACTCTGGGGGGTGCCTCCTGACTTTTGCTGTGGCTCCCCAGGGTGATCAACGCTGGGGTCAGAGGGGGGCATAAGGGTGCAGTGAAGGTCAGAAACTAATCCATCCCCCTAATTTACAGGTGGGAAAACCAAGGCTGAGAAAGGCCAAGAGACTTGAGCAAGGTCACAGAGCTAGCTGATTGGAGAGCCACCCAGAGCTCCTGAATCACAGCCCCCCACTTCTCAAATCCACACACGAAGCACCTGGACATCTTGTTAAAATGCAGATTCAGTATGGCCGGGGCAAGGCCTGAGATTCTGCATTCCTAAGAAGTTTCCAGGCGATGCTGACGCTGCTGGTCCATGGACCACACTTTGAGTTGCAAGTAGCAAGGCTCTACACCATGTTGTCTGGAAGGGAAAGGGATCCTTAAACTTCACCTCTGATTATATCAAGGCTGAAACTTTCCACTTCCACCCAGCAAATCCTCTAAGACTGACAAACATTTAAAACGATAATAATTATCATTATAACATTCACTGAATATTTATGTGCCAGCCAGCACTCTTTCAAATGCTTACATGTATTACTACATTTAATCCTCACAACTCTATGAGATGGACATTATTATCATCCAGTCTTACAGATGAGGAAGCTGAGACTCAGAGAGGTTAAGTAAGTTGGCCTAAGTCACACAGCTATTAGGTGGCAGAGCCAACATTCAAATTCGGATGTCTGGCTCACGGCTCAGTCAGCTAAAGACTACCTAGAAGTGTACCTTCAACACCTCATTTCTCCAAGCCTTGGGGGCCTCTCCCCAGAATGCTCGTAACATTCCTCTAACCAAACCATGTTCTCTCCAGAACTGCTTGGCCACAACTTTCTCATAACTCAGGGTCATAAAGGTCCTGTTTTCCAGACCTGTGTATACCCAGTGGACCTCAACAAATTATTTTTAATGTGGGGGAAGCACAGATGCAAAGGAGCTCGGGGTAATGTATGGATAGCTGATCTGCACAGTAAGATACATGGCGATCTCTTTTTAAACTAGGGGCTTGCATGCTTTCCCTAAGGCCGTGTCCACACAGTCTCTGAAGCGCTGCCCCCAGGAGGCAGTGCTGGGCACCAGAAAGCTTTGTGAGAAGCGTCTGCAAGAGGGGCATGTGGTCTGTGTTGGAGTTGTTGAGAATTCCTATGGAATATGAGCGCATCTCCTGGTGGGGACAAGAGTGCATGGCAGGGGTATGGGGGAGGTCCACCTCGGCACCCTTCCAAGCTCTACCCAAACCCAGCCCTGCATTTTGGCTGCACCATCAGGATTATGAATTAGTTCCACCATGTTGCACAATACACGAGCTGGTTGCGATCGTGTATCTTCGATGTATAATGTATCTGGACAAGCACAGCACCCCAACGGCACACATTCCCACAGGCAGGTGGGCATCACCAGACTGCCCCTGCCCCAGCATCTATGGCCCACAGGTGCCTGGTTGACTTCCATTCGATTCCTGAACAACCACTTCAGATATTGGTGTTCACTTGGCCTGGTCCTGCCTCCTCCAGGCAAAGAAGGACTCCTAGAAATCATTAGCTATCTGGAGAGGCCCTGGGCGCAAAGAGGGCAGAGGAGAGATGTGAGACCATGATGGGACAGAGTGGTCAGGAGGGGGGAAATTCAGTGGACTGAGGGCTCGTCCAGAGTTGGGGGTAGGTCCGTTATGCTGGGGCCTTCCTGTCCAGAGGCAGGCAGAGGGTTTTCCAGCTCATCTCGGGTGCCAGGTTAACTCTCTCTGAATCCTGTCTCCGCCACTTACGAGATGTGTGTTCTAGGGTGTTACTTAAACTTTCAGTTCCTCAATTTCCTCATCTGTAAATGTCAATAATAATAAATAGCCCAAATGAGCTAGTGTCTATAAAGTATTTAGAATAGTACCTGGCATATGGTGAGGGCCTAATAAATGTGAGAAAGGGCTTAAACATAAGAAAGAAAGAAAAGAAAGAAAGAAAGAAAGAAAGAAAGAAAGAAAGAAAGAAAGAAAGAAAGAAAGAAAGAAAGAAAGAAAGAAAGAAAAAGAAAGAAAAAAAGATATAAAGTGACAGCTATAGGGCTGGCCCCCGCTCTGGCAGACAGTGATAAGGAGGCGTCAGAGAATACAAGAGAAAGAACACTTTGTGTTCCTGCTTTTCACACATATGTACAGAGAGCAGCTGAGGGTACCCACTTTTTCAGGGCGCACTCCAGTTCGTTCTTCTCCTCGTGGGCTTCTTGGAGCTGGGAAAAGATTCTGGTCAGGAAATCCTCGAAGTTGGACAGTAAGTGAGGTTCGTCCTTCTTCAGCTGCAGCCAGAGTTGCTTGACATCGCTTTCACTGCAAGAGGAAAAGGGGCATAAATGTGGGGGTGTGGAAACGAGGATTCATGGAAACACAGAGGCTCCCAGATGTGAAACTGACTGCCAGAAACAATGGTGTCATCATTATGACGACAAGAGTAGCTAACATTTCCTGAGTGCTTGCTGTGTGCACATGAGCTCATTTTATCCTCACAGTAACCTATGCGGCAGGTGCTGCCATCTCCCATTTACAGGTGAGGAAGCAGATGAGGAGAGGTGAAGTGAGCTGTCTCAGGCCAGTCAGCTGGTAAATGATGGGCCAGGAGGCACACTCGGGGCTGTCTGGATCCTGTTGGCCTCCTTCTCTGCCTCACCTGACTGCATCTACTCTCCCATCTCTCTTGATGGGCTGGTGGTGCAGAGCAGGCACAGCCACGTGCTGGGCACATCTCAGATGCCCGGAAACAGAGAGGGGGAAGGTGGCCCGGTGCGTGTGAGGACAAATGCCGCGGAGCTACGAGAGAGCTTGTCGCCCTAGGAAGGACGGTCCTCACAGCTGAGAGGTAAAGATGTGTCATCTGATGGATGGCAGAAAGCAATTGTCGCTGCGGGGAATGGAAGAGAATACGCAGCACCCCCCTGGGCCCCGGTGGCATGGGGAATGACTGGCAGGCGAGAGGGAGGGAAGGAGCAAGTCTGAAAGATGTGAGTGCACACATGGAAAGACAAACAGAAAGTCAGGAGGGGTGGAGCAGGCAGAGAGGCAAAGACACAGAGCAACATGCCCCCAAACAGGCACCCTGGGCACATGTGTGCACGCACGGCCACAGAGACACCTAGGCTCACGCTGACCAGCAGGGAGGAATGGGGAGGTGACATACAACATGGACCCTGCTCCTCTCTCTGGAGAAATTCAATAATTTATAGTCAATGATCCCACTGAGCCAGAGAGCAGTCTGATTTACACCCCATTAAATTCTAAAACCAGAAACCCTCAGGACAAAGAATAAAATCCTTTGTGCTGGTATAACAAGTATTGTATTTGAGAAACTTTCCTCAGGAGTGACATTTGATAATGCCATGTTAGCAGTGTGCCTGGAGCACAGACATTACTCCCTGAGAAATAAGCCTACCTCTGGTTAGTTATTGCACCATCTATCTCATCATCCCTCCCTCCGTCCTTCCCTTGCTCCATCCCATCCAAACACCCAACCAGTCATCCTAGGCCATTCATCCACCCAGCAGTGTTTAGTATCTGTTGAGAACCCTGTCCTGAACTGGGTGACATGAAGAAACCTGGGAAACAAGAGAGGGGAGGCCAGGAGCCTCCTTATTTCCCACAACGAGTTTGTTGTCTCCACACAGAACTGCTGTGGCTGTCTACTTCAGTGTATAGGCACACTGGAGATGGCACAGCGGGTTCAGAGATGAAAGGTCTCAGGGAGATACCACGATGGCCTCCCATCACATGGCAAGGTGCTCCCCTCATGAAGTAAATGCATTATAAAAACCAAGACCCATCTTGCTAGTCTAGGTGTGTCTGCTCACATCTGCCACATCGGCCAGATTCCTAACGGAGACTGGCAGAGGCCCCCACCCATCGGGTCAGTGCCTCCAATGAGATTTGCAGACCTACCTGACCTTTTTTTTTTTTTTAAAGATTTTTATTGGGGAATTGGGGGATGGGAACAGTGCTGGGGAATTGGGGGAAGGGGAATAGACAAGTTGCTGTCCTTTTGTTATTCAGTCTAGTTGTGGAGGACGTTGCTTCACTGGCCCAAGTTGGTACCATCATTGCGCTCTTCCCGGGCGAGGCAGATCAGTCGCCAGCTTCTGGACGGCTGCTCACTGCGGCTGCTGGCCGCTCACTGTGGCTGCTGGCTACACATGGTAGCCCATGGCAGCCCACTGCAGCAGGGTCTGCAGCCTACGCCGTCGCCGGCGACTCACGGCAGCCCAGCTCCAGGTTGAGCTGTTGTTCAGTATCTTAGCTGTAGAGGGCAGTGTCACTGGCCCTCATATGTGGGATGCGAACAGGGGCTCTCTGGCGTCCCAAGCCAGCTCTTAACCACTGTGCCACTCAGCCGGCCCCCACCTGACATTCTTCCAAAGCTTTTTGAACCACTTAGTCATGGTCACATCACCTCCCCGCAGATTTCTGGAGAAGGGACAAGTCTCCCAACCCTCGAAGAAAAATAAGCCAGGCCCATAAGCTGCAGAATCACTCAGTCAATCTGACCACCAAAAAGAGTCTGGAGTCCAGATGTCCAGTCTACACCCAGGGTACTCCTCCTGGAAGGACATGGGAGTGCAGGGCTAGAATGGATTCTGGGAGGTCAATCTGTCCACCTCCCTGTTTCCAGGACAGCACCCAAACCATCTTAGTGAGTAAAGTCTTCACAGCCTCCTCTATTTGCTTATCTGAGGGTCACGACCATTCCTCATGGTGGAACTTAAGCCCACTTCCTTCTTGTTCAACTTCAATGTGGATAGAAATTGCTGTCGCCATCTTCTGCATATCAAAGTTTGCAGGCTACTCTTGAGAGATTCCCCAGAGCCTTGTATTCTCCAGGATACCTCCTACTGACTCAGCTCTGCACAGGCCTTTCACACGGTCCTCAGGGGAACAGCTGGTGAGCTCTGTCATGATTTGACACCCTAGGAAGGTGGCTGCCCTGGCAGTGATGGGTGTGCGGAGAGGCGCCTCTTTATTACAGGCCCTTGGCTCGCCCACACCACCTCTCTTTCCCCCTCCCCCAGGAAAAGGCTTCACGGGGTCACCGGCAGTGGTCACTGTGCTCTGGCTTCGACCTTGGAGAAGCTGAGTCAGGTGCCTGACTAATGAGCTCCCCATGGAGCGGCAGCTCCAGGACAGCCACCTGCCCGCTCCTGCCCTGCAGACCCTGCCTGCACCAGGCCTTCTAATCCTGCCGCGGAGCTCCCGCCGCTGTGTCATCACTTCCCATCCAGAGCCTCCCACAGGCCTCTCCCAGGCCTCTGCCTGCCCCTCCTTGCCCGGCACAAGCTTTTGCCAGTCCTTCTCAACTCTGACACAGTCTATCAAATCGCTGGCCCAGCCTACGTGTACTGAAAAGTCTACCAAGTAGCAGATACTTTCTCCGGCCTGCAGGTGTATGCAGGCCCCTTCTCTCCTGGATGCTCTGTAGTGTCTCCTCTTTCCAAGCTCAGGACATGTCAGCTGCACTCCTCAGGCCATTCCGTCCCCTCATGAAACACACACCCAACCCTTTCAAGGCCTAGAGACCCAAAAATGAAAAGGCAAAGGCAATGGGAAAAGGGGGCAGAACACATTCCATGTTTTTCAGGTCCACTATCTATACCATCACTATTTTATTTTATTTTTATTTCAATTTTAGTTTAGCTTTATTTTATTTTTTCTTATTTTATTTTATATCATTTCATTTTGTTTTAAATGTCAGGACTTAGGTCCATGTGTCTCTTTATTCCAAAACACATTATGAAAAAAATAAAATGGGTGTATTGTTTTGTTTGAAGTTCCAACTATCTAAAATTTTCAGCTGAGCTACTGGTAAAAATTGGTTAATTTTCTGCCTCGGCTTCCTGACAGGGTTGGTTTAGTCCAGGGATACCACGTATAAACACTTCCACATAGAGTGCCTTTGCTGGGAGCAGGTCATTGTGGTGTGGCTGGGACGCACTGCAACCCCAGAGACCCTGGGCTGGCTCCAATAGAGGTGAAGCCTTAGGCAAAAGTCATGGAAAACCCTTGAAGGCATAGCCCCCTGATGTGTGAGACTCCTCGCTGAGCCAAGGACTGTGCTGATAATGTGAGTGAGGACAGTGGGAGGGAAGGGGATAGGCTAATTCCCATGAAGAAAAGTGTAAAAAGCAGAGACAGAGCCCCAGGACCATGACACATAGACGGGTCATTGTAAAGGACAGGCTGCAAGGAGCAAGTCCTGCAGCTGACTGCACAGAGCTTGGGGCCTGGCACCGACGGCTTAACAAATGTTAACGGCCAAATGGAGCCGATAAAGAGGCTGCTCCTCAGCTGGGCTCCATCCCCCAACTCACTGTGATCACTTACTCTTGTAAAACCTTCTGGGCCCCGAGTTTGTCCATCAGCATCTGGAACTGGGCGTCCTCGTCCTCGTCCATGTCACCCAGATCCTCTTCCCCTCTGGACTGGTACACCTTCTCCTCCTGGAGCTGGGCCACCTGTTCACCTGCATCTTCCTCGCTTGGCTTGTTCTGGCTGAAGAAGAAGTGACCTGGGGGATGCATGGCACAAGGATATGAACTAGGCAATACTCACCCAGGAAGGCCTTTGCTTTCTTAGTTGCCGAGAATTATTTGAGGTTCATCTGAGAGAAGAAAAGGGGAAACTCCCAATAGCTCAGATCCCTGGGTACCATGTTCTGGATTTTGTATCTTTCCTACTTCTAAGACATGCTAGAACCTGGGGAAGGCAGGAGGCATGGCAGGTACTGTGACACCTGGGTGGGTCTCAATCTTTTAAAGTCTGTCCTAGAACTCACCTCTTCATTGATTTCTTCTCTACACAACCAGACCTTTTCCTCCCCTGCACTCCCACAGCCTGCCTGCCTATATTCCATGTTATCATCTCGGCATCCCGATGGCTAGCATGCTCTACTTCACATTCACAAGTTACTTAGTGGTTCTGGTGCACTTTTCCGTACACAGACTGCCTGGCAAATCCAGCAATCTGTCAATTATAAGCTCATGCCAATTATAAACTCCTCAAGGTTAGGGCAGTCATCAAATACTTCTAATTAACCTGTACAGCACCTTGTATGAGCTAGACGCGTGATGAAACTTGCCTGTTGATATATCTGACCAGTATTTGTTCTAATCAATATTAGATCAGTATGACTTGATGGCATATCTGGTTTCTTTGTCTTGTTCATGGATCTTAGTTCTCTTTCCTTTTAGTTATCTTGAGGATGACTGGTCTATTCAAATCTTCTAGAAATTTTTCTGACAGCTGGCACCCCTTATCTTGGAAGACTCAGCTAGACTCAGGTTGGAGTCTACCCTACTCTGTCATCCACTAGTATGGAGGCAGAAAGGAGAGGCTGGAAATCTCACCTCAGCTCCCCATTTTGTGCCAGGCCTTCTGCCAGAGCTCCCTTGCATATCTCTCAGCATTCCTGGGTGGTAGGAGACTTGGCAGCGACAGTGTGGTGAGCAATGAGAGAGCAGTGGTGTGAGCAGCCAAGGAGGACATGTGAAAAAAGCACCCCCCCCACCCCAAATCCAGAGCCTGGAAACTTCAGGAGGGGAGGAAAGCTTGTGCTCCAAGGACCCTCAGATTTCTTGGGGAATGGGTGCACTTTAGGTAGCTTTGGGTGGACCCACACCCTGGGGCCCCAGCAACCATCAGAACTTACTAAAACCAGTGGTGAACTCCCCTGGGGTCAGATAGCCATTGCCATCTGCATCCAGGGCATCAAATACGTCTTCCAGTTCCTCCAGGCTGAGTGGCAACTCCTCATGGAGCCTCTGAAAACAAGCCAGACCACACTGGTTAACCCTGTGATGACAGTGGAGAGCTGCCTGGGGCTGCAGAGCCTCTGCCAAAAGATGTCTAGAGACTGCCCTGTCCTACACGAGCCAGCAGCCAGCTCCTGAACATCGCTTTTCCATCCTCCCCCTCCTCGAGTATTCGGATGTCCGCCATTTATTGGATGCCTACCAATGTGCAAGGCAATTTGCTAAGTGAGTTGTAAGTAAATATATAAACATGAATATATTTATCAATATATTTATGTATCATTTATAAGTATATATATTTGCATTTAATTCTCATGACAATCCTTTGAGGTGGGCATTATTATCCCCATTTTTCAGAGAACTGTGGAGTTCTATTACCTGTCTCAAGATTGCCTAGCCAGTTAATGACAATGCCAGGAGTCAATTCCAGGTCTGACTCCAAAGCTAGGGTTCACACCTGTAAAGGATGGAGACTGTCCAGGACTCAATTGTAGGATGATACCCACATGACATGGCGCTGTCAAATTAAATGAGATAATGAATGTAAAGAATATGGCACAGTGCCTGGCAGGGAGGGAGGGAGGGAGGAAGGGAGGGAGAGAGAGAGAGAGAGAGAGAGAGAGAGAGAGAGAGGGAGAAAAGAGAGACCGACCCACCAAGGCCACTCAGTGAGTGATGGCAGAGCCAGGTTTTGTGCTGTTTTTCCTGCTCTGCCCAAGCCCCCTTCTCTCTGCCATGCTGCCTCCCCTGTTGAGATGCAGGCGTGAGTTATCCTCAGAGCCTTCACTGATGGAGGCCACTCCTGTCCCAGGGCCCCAGCACCACGTTTGTAAGTTCTCTGGACACACATATTAGTCTTTCGACTCCGAGGGGGCGCTGGATAAGCCCCCTTTTTCCCTCTGAGTGACCTGAACCCATGGCACCAGGCTGTGTCCCACTCCTGCTCCCTGCTGGTTCTCAACTAATTCCTGATAAGGTGTTAAATGCCACTGGTTTAAAGTATTCATCCCCTGAAAGTATGTGTTTTAGAGGGGAACTGGCCAAGATGCTGTGTGAGGAGGTCACAAGTAAACACCGGGCCTGAGTCCTGGGCTCACTAGGACCACACAGTGGTGGAAGGGCAGGGACCAACAGATGGGATGAGGAACAACGGGCCGAGCTGCTGATGCTGCCCTCTGGCTTCTGCCTGAGGCGCAGTGGCCCCAGGCCAAAGCCAATTTGCATAGTTGAAGCAAGTGTCCTCTTGCACCCTAATAATCTAAGTCTCCAAATGAGGACTCCCCAAGGAGTTCATTATATATCCCAGCTGACCCTCCTCTTCCCTCCCAGTTACCCAAGAGACAACTCACAAAACTGCCTGTGTGGAAGTGAACTGACAGCTGAAAACAATGAACGCAGGACTGCAGGAAGGAAGGTGTGTACCCATCTGAACAAAGAAAGAGCCAGCAGGTGTGAAAGCCCATAACACAACGTGCAAGAACACATGGCTTGATCCTGTGGCAATCTGCTAGCTGATATGCCATGAAGTTTAATTTGGCAGGTACATCCATTAAGGGAGGCTATGATGCATCACGAAGTGGGAAGACAGAATGACGTGGAAGCTATTTAGAAGAATTGAATTAAATATGAATGAGGTTTTTTTTTTTTTTTAGGAAAGGGGAGTGAGAGTGTGTGCAAAAGTTCTAGAAGTGCACTGCTTAGCAGACAGCGGAATCTCTGGCTTGCCAACAATCCATCAACCAGCTGTCTCAAAAGCCACAGTAAGAGAACGGGAAGTGAGGAGGGAGTCCGTTTTGCAAGCAGGAAGTTCATTAGCTCCACACTGGAGGTGGGGTGAAAATTCAAGCTCCTGTCCCACCCAGATTCCAGGCCTTTCCTTGGGAATATCCTTCCCTCCCCACCCTCAGCCTAGGATTGCTGGACCTGATCTGAAATGTGATGTGTCACACGGTGCTGGGGCTAGAGATGGGCTGGAAGGAAACTGCAGTGGTCAGTGGGACCCTCGACTCGCCTTTCGCCCAAACCACCTCACACGTGGTACCCTGTCACTCGCTAGTGTGAGCCAGGAAAATCTACGTCATCCTCCACCTTAGGCACCATTCCTGAATCTAACAACACCTCTGATCAACAATCCTTCCCATTACCGAATAATCCCAGTCTTTCTTATCTACATCTCAAATCTGGTTTCCTCTTCCTGTTGTCAGTGAGGATGGGGACAGCAATATTATATCCTCCAAGTAATTCTTACTCTTCACATCCTGGGTACTTCTTAGTTCTGGTGCTTCCTCAGCTTCTCTGCACGCTGCCCCACGCCACATCTTTTAACCCCTCTTTATTGGCCCTGTTTAAAAAATCCTTTAGTCTTAAGAACTATAATTATCTTATTTATCTTTCCTCTCAGGGCTTGCAGAGCCGTGTAAAACCAACTTATTCTGGTCTTGTCCCCTGGGTCCCTAGTGCTGTCTACAGACAAGATTGTTCATTCCACCATGCAAATAACCTGCGAGGCTCAACGTCACAGCGGTGACCGGTGACCGGAGCTGGATGAAGAGCCAGTTTCCCATTCAGGGCTCCCACATGGTCCAACGGCCCTTCGATGCATCCATTCTCTGACCCTCTCTGCATTACCGTTCCACCCCTGCCCACCTCCCACCTGAAGTCTACCTGGCCAGCACTACCACATTACTAGCCTTCCAGAAATCCTGTCCCACTGATCGATCCTGTCCCACTTCCACTTCCACCTGGAAGGGCAGGCAGGGGAGAGAAGAAATGGGAGGTAGCCATCTCGCCCTGTCCACAAGCCCACAGCCCAGCCAGCTCTTTACAACTCCAGGGCTCTTTAAACATGGGCCTCCCTCCCGCCTGCAAGTTAACTCTGATTTTCTGCTTTACTCTCAGCTCTGGCATCACTTCTTCAGTGAGCCTCTGCGACCGCCCGGTTATACAGGCTCTCCAAAACACATTCTCTCATGTATAAGTCTCATCTCAGTTTGTATTTTACATAATGTCGATGTGGTTTGTTGATGACCGTCTGCTCCTGTCAGTGGACTGGTAGAGCTGAGAACAGGAGCCCCATTCATTTTTCCTCACTACTGTGTCCCCAGGATCCAGCGCAATGCTGATAAACATGGAGAATTTAGATATCTGTTGAATGACTGAATAAGTAAATGAGTGACAGAGTGATCACAGGGGATGCTGAACTCCTATTTACAGAACACTGGTCTAGACTTCTGACCAGCACTGCTGTTGATTCCCGGGCAAGGTCTCATAAACTGGGAGTTTTCCTGGACCTGGACCAGAGCACAATCCTGCAGCAGCAGCACTGAGTGCTCAGGCTCAAGAGTCATGGAAAAATGCTGCGTTTGCTGCTCTCCGGCCAGACCCCTCTACCTTTCAGGTTACCAGACCAGTAATATGCCTCACGTAGATTAAAGTGAATGTTTGCAGAGCTTTACACAGTCTAAGGGAACACTCCTTAACGAGAAAACTAGAAGAGATCCACCTTGATGGTGAGAATTAAAGTTTCCCTCCTCTCCTCTTTAGAGCTGTGTCCCAGCACCAACCACTCTCTTAACTGTGGTGCAGCTCAGGTTCCAGGACCAAATACCTTCAGGGTGAGGATGTGAGGTCCAGGAGGCAGGAGCTACCTGTTTCTGCCCTCTGCTTTGATTTGTGCGGTTCACGCTGATTGCTTGGTGTAAACTAGGGCTTCTCACCCTCTGCACTATTGACGTCTTGGAGTGTCAATATCCAAGTGACATCTTGGATGATTCTTTGCTGGAGAGGGAGGTGGGGGAGGAGCTGCCCTGTGCATTACAGGACATTTAGCAACATCCCTGGACATTACCTTGTAGACGCTTGTAGCACCTCCTTCTCCAGTAGTTTCAACCAAAAATGTCTCCAGATGTCACCAAATGTCCTCTAAGAGGCAAAATCGCCCTCACTCATATAGACTGGACACAAACAAGAATAGTGGCAGCTGGAAATGAATGGAAGGGGCCCTCTTCAGCAGAAACGCCCTTTCTCTATCTCTGAAGGAGGACAGATGACTTGTACTTAAAATCACAGTATGTCAGTACAGCCACTATGGAAAACAGTATGGCAGTCCCTCAGAAATTAAACAGAATTACCATATGATCCAGTAATTCCACTTTTGGGTATATGCCCAGAAGAATTGAAAGCAGGGACTTGAGGAGTATTTATACACCCATGTTCATAGCAGTATTATTCACACTCAACGGTGTGAAGCAACCCAACTGTCCATCAGCTGGTAAATGGGTAAACAGAATGTGGGATGTACGTACAATGGAATATTATACATTCAAGGAAGGAAGTTCTGACACCTGCTACAACGTGGATGAACACTGGGGAAATTATGCTCAGTGAACCAAGCCAGTCACAAAAAGGCAAATGCTGTATGATTCCACTTACATAAGGTATCTACAGTAGTCCAATTCATAGACAGAAAGTAGAATGGTAGTGGCAGGGACTGGCGGGAGGTGGGAATGGGGCGTTAGTGTTTAATGGGCACAGAGTTTCTATTTTGCAAGATGAAAAGAGTTCTGGAGATGGATGGTGGTGATGGCTGCACAACAAAGTGAACCTACTGAATACCAGTGAACTACACACTTAAAAATGGTTAATATGGTAAATTTTATATTATGTATATGTTATCACAATTAAAGAAAAATCACAGTGTGGAGGACACTAGGCACTGGGTGAAGATATGGGGTACAAGTCCCCCCCACAACCCTGCACCCACACACACAAGTGCATGTATGGGGGGGTTTCCAGTTCCTGGTCTCAGGGCTAAATGCTCATTTATCCTCTCCTGATCCTGGGAGGCACTATAAATAATTCACAGGTGAGGAACTATGGCCTAAAGACTGGAGAGACTTACACAAACTCACATCGCCAGCCACATTGCCGATTCAGGATTAAAACACAAGTCAATTTCCCACAGAAATCTTTAAGTCTTCTTGCTAACCTAAATCAGGAGTCAGCTAACTTTTTCTGTAAAGGGTCAGAGAGGACATATTTTTAGGCTTTGTAGGCCCTTCAGTCTTGGTCACAACTACTCAAGCCTATCGTTGGACAATATGTAAATGAATGAACACACTGTGTTCCAATAAAACTCTACTTGCAAAAACAGGTAGTGGGCAGATCTGGTTGTTTTGTCAACTCCTAGATGATCCTTAACAATTTGGTTAAGCCAGGAATTCTAGGCAGTGTTGGGAGGTAGGTACCTGGAGTTGGTAGGTAAGCATCTCACTCCTCTAAAATATCAGTAAGTAGGGTTTTTGAGGCTCTAGGCTTCTTCAGAGAGCACTCCTGCCCATCCTGCTTTCCACCTACCTCCCCCAGCTGCAGGAGTCCCTTTGTGCCCTTTCCAGCCTGGCCCTCTCATGTCCCTCTGTCCCCCCGAGGCAGGACTAACTCACTCAGGGACCTCAGCCCCACGACTCTGCTTCTCTAGGGGACTGCACCAGATCCCACCTTGCAAGCAACCTGCACCCTAGTTCTGCCTGGAGTGATCCATAGAACTAGAGAGGTTCCTTGTGGAGGAGAGCGTGAGGTCTTGGGGGCCATGGGTGAGGCTGGGGACTCTCAAACTGCTGCCTAAACTCTGTTCACACAGTCAGAAGCCACCATCTTCCATCCCTGTACCAGAATGTCTGCACACGGAGCCCAAGCACAGGGCAGCTTTCGCCCCTGTTCTCGGTGCAGCCCACCTCCGGTTCCTCCACGTTCCTTCAGGTTCCTCCAAGGACTTCAAAGGAGAAAGGCTGCTCCTGGCCCCTGCTCCTCTCCTTTTGTGCTCCCTGCGTATCAGGGTGGGCTGATTACCTCCTGCTGGGGCTCAGATCATGGTGGCAGTCTCCCCCACCTCTCAGATGACTATGAAGTCCATCTTACCCTCTGCAAATGGACTTTTGTTGATCAGGAAAAAGAAGAACAAGAGTACTAGAGGCAGAACTTAAGCCTCCCATTCCCTTTTCAAAACAATAAGCTTCCTGTGGTTTTGTTCCAGCTCTGCTTTTCCACCCTCCTCCTCCAGCCCCTTGGTTCACCATTCCACCTGGCCCATAGCCTCTCCTTCCTTGAGAGACATCCTCTGCTTTAAAGGGCATTTCCTGGTGACTGAATTTGTGTGTGTGGAATACTTTCAACTTTTCTCCTTCCAGTGCCTGTGAGGCTGTTCTGGGAGCTGATGGTGAGAAAGATAGTGATGACCAGGTCCAAAGAGCTGGCCGCCAACCAAAGGAGGGTGACCACCCCACAAAGGAGCTGTATGTGGGAGTGACAGGCAGCAGGCAGATGTCTGTAGGTTCTGCCCAGGAGAACCAAGGGGCGCATGGGCTTTCCACAGAGAGCGCAGGCTGGCTGTTCATCATTTATCTCTTCCTAGCCCGTCTTTCCAGACATTGACCACTGAAAGCAACAGAGAGATGGTCTTAAATGACGTGTTCTGTCTCCTCTCTTGGTAGCACTTTCTCAGTCTAAAGTACAGAAAATTTCAAATGCTGCATTGTGCACAGGTACAGAAACTTCAGAAAACGAAGGAGCTCAGAGAAATAAGAGCCGTGGATGCACAAGCGTCTGCTAGGTGAGATGTCCATGCCCCTTCCTCCTACCTGAGTCAGGTGTGAGGACTGAGGGAGGAAGGCTGGGGAGGGATGACGGATGAGCTGAGCTGCTCCCTCTGGGACTTGACATTTCTGACTTCACACCAGGCCAAATACAATGATTCCTTTAACAATGTTCACCTGATAGTTTAGATGCCCATGCCTGTCCCTCCCTCCATGTGGGCTTCAGCGAAGGTGAACTGGGATCTACACAGCGAGCTGTACCGTGCATGTGACCCAGAGTGACCCTGAATAAATGTGAACTCCCTTTTCTTTCTGTCAAGGGGAAAAGCAAAAGTTAAGGATGCCGTTGAAATAATCACCAACAACCACCACTACCACCAACCTGTGAATAGCAACTATGAAGCTCACAGACAGGGGTCTGTCAATGGTTCTCTCATACACTGAATCTGGCCTTCCCTGTGAAGCAAGACTTTGGAATGAGTTTCAGTGACAGAAATGTATTGGGGGGTCAATTACTAAAAACAGGAGTGACCTGAGCTCACTGGTGGGCATAGCTGGCTCTGTTTCCCAGCTCTTTCCCTTCAATCCATGCAGCTACTAGGTGGTGGGAGGGCTTTGGGAGAGGCCCGTGGGGCCAGAGAGAGAAGGACCCACACCTTCCCCCAGTTCACAGGCTCATTCTTAGCCTCCACACCTCGCGGCTCACACATGCAAGCAGAGATGGGGCTGATACTAAGGAGGTCCACATTTCACTGCCCAGCTTTAGTGTCTTCTGAAACTAGACTTAGAAAAAGAATACCAGGCCATTGTAGGTCTTTCTCCTAATAGCACAGCTATGTATCCTTCTAAAAATGCTCTTGACAGCGTGAGTGGTGAAAAGATTGGGAGAAAGGAGCTGTTTTCATGGAGCTCTAGTGGAGCCTGCATGTTATTTACTCAAATCAGGGTGAAATCATAACTCAGCATAAGAGAAGAACCTTTTGGCACTAATGGTTGAAAGGCACCAGCCCAGAGGTGGGCAAACCATGCCCCAGGCTCTAAATTAGACCCATTGCCTGTTCCAGTGAGCTAAGAATAGCCTTGACATTTTTAAATGGTTGAAAAAAATATCAAAAGAAGAAGAATATTTGGTGACACTTGAAAATTACTTAAAATTCTAAGTTCAGTGTCCATAAGTAAAGTTTTATTGGAACAGAGCCATGCTCATTCGTCATTCATTCACAGATTGCCTGCCTATGGCTGCTCATGCTACGGCGCCAAATGTAGTCATGATAGAGACCGCATGGCCCATACAGCCTAAAATACCTATTCTCCGACCCTTTACAGACAAAGTTTGCTGAGTCCCGCATCGTGCAACGATGTGCTCTGAGGATGTGCGATGTCTCTCTCTGGGAATGCTTACGAGAGGGTTCGGTGTGGATGGGTTTGAGGGCATTCTGGAAATGCCTTCCTCCTGGGCTGTTGTACCTGACACTGTACCTCTCCCTCAGGTACACACAGCACCTCGCAGGAAGGACTTCAGCACAGCTCAGAGCTTTGCTGTGAAGCAACAAGTGGGTGCCTTTCCACCTTTGTTTCAGGAGGTTCTTCACCACGTCGAACTTAAGCCCCTCTGTCGCTATCACCCTTTTCCACAACTTTGAGGAGTTTCTGAGTCAGAGAGGGGAAATACCCCCTGAGTATGACAGCAAGTAAAGGCCAGAACAGGAAAGAACCCAGGAGATCTGGCTCCCAGTAGAGCTTGGACTGATGCCTCTTTCCAGGACAGACTTGATGGCATCTTTTCTGTTAAAGACATCGCCTCCAGTGGCGCAAGTCCTAACCTGAGACAGGGAGGCCCAGGCCATCTGGCACTCCAGGTGGGCAGGCCCAGCTAGCGTCCCTCTTACCTGCATATCCCGCCTGGCGATGAAGCCCTTGCCCTCCACATCGCAGGTCTGGAAGAATTCGTGTGCCTTCCTCAGCATGGCCAGCTCTGCTGGCGCCAGCTCCTGGGTCTCCTTACACTCCAGGTTGTCCAGGCGACCCGGGCGGGCCCCACACTCTGTCTGTCCGGTGGCAGGATTCTGGACTCTAGAGGGCACTCTCTGGTCAGGGGTAGCCATCCAGGTTTGTCAGTTTCTCCAAGTCTTTTCAGAATCTGAGAATGGAAGATGAGAGTGAGGTGGGTGTGGTGGGGATGGAGTGAGCCTGAAAAAGAATGACAAGAGACAAGAGGAAAACACAGAACCACTCACCAGTGTGCCCCAGCATCTCTTAGCAACCACCTCCTAATTAGCAGAAGCTCAGGACAAGGGAAAGTGTGCCATGATCACTAATAGATCAGCCAGCTCATCAAAGAGAAAAGAGAAGAAGGGGGAATAGAAAACAGACATTTTCAGACTGAAAGAAAGTGGGCAGAGGAAGCCTGAAAAGAATTTCTCCCAATTTAAACAAACAACAAAAGAGATTCTAATAGACCAGCTACCATTTATTGAGTGTTTACTTGTAGGCAGGCACCAGGCCATGGTCTCTATATACATTTTGTCATTTATTTTTCTCATCTCTCTGAAATAGATACTATCATCTCCATTTTATTGAGGCTCAGAGAGGTTGAGTGACTTGACCAAGGTCACACAGCAAGTTTGTACAAAAACTGACATTTAAATGCAAGGTCATATAATTTGTATTTGAAATTAATCCCACACTGTCCTGACTCTTCAGCATTGCCATGGGTGGAGGAGTCCCCCCACTCAGACAAGCTCTCTTAATCACTCTCAATCCACTAGTTCTTGGTGAGTTCTCAGCCCTTTTCTCAGACCTTTGCAGGGACCAAGAAATAATTTCAGGCTCATTCTGGCTGAATGAGAAAGGGGACCCTATCCTCAGGGAACTTCCTGCTGTACTGCGTTTCCTGGGCCTGGTTTGGTGACACCCAAGGCTGTCTTCAGCCAACACAGAATCACCAGTCATATGCCTTGATCAGGTTCTTAAAGCCCCTCAAGGAGTTTTTCCAGAAGGTTCACTGCAATGTGATGTCATGGGAGAAGGCATGCAAAGCCTGGCTCCTGGTCCAGACTCTACTGCAGCTTAAGAGACCTTAAAGAAGTGACCTGTCTGGGCCTCAGTTTCCTCATTTGCATAATGAGAAGACTACACCTGTTTGTCTTTTAGGCCCCTTCTAGCTCTGACAGTCTGTAACTCTGACATTTCAAAATAACAAAATGTTATTAATGAAAACTTGGATTAATATAATAAAATAGCAATATCCCCAGATTTTTCTATCTGAAGGCTTTTTGGAAGTAGACTAGGCCCAGATTTCAAATATATGGTAATATTTGAATTTAAACATGTAGAGATGCACTGTAATGCATTGGAAACTGGAGAAAGTGAAGTCCTAAATTCTATCTCCTGTGTCCATGTTCAGAGAAAAGATAGAAAATCACTGTATCACAGGTGGGTTTCTCTGACTATTATAGCCTGGGCCCCTGGCTCAGCTGCGCCGTGGCTACAAAGTCATCTATTATTTCAGTCAGCACCTCCTGCCTACCAGATTTGTCAAGAGCTGTGGGCCCGTAGCTGGCAGAGCGCCTCCAGCCTCGGGAAGGAATCCATGTAACAGTGAGGACAAGGCAGAGCACGCTGCACCTGCTCCTGCCACCCGGCTGGACAAGGAACTCCCACTCTGCTGCCTCTGACCAGCTCCTCACTTGGGGAATGAATGGTCTCTCTCTTCATTCCTACGTGGTGTGAACTGACCATCGCTTGATCATAGGCAGACTGAACATTTTCATTCTGTCTTCCCCAGGGGGGGCCACCTTGGATGTCCGTCCCGAGAGAGCAGGGCTGTGTCTGCATGGTTTATGTGGATTGCCCAGCACACCTATGTGCAACGTTGGGCTTAGGGAGGGCTTCTGGATAATGATGGTGGTAACGTCTGAGCTTCTATAAATACACAGCATGAGCAGAACTGCCTGCTGTCTTCCTGATATCTGCAAGATCTCTGCCCTACCTCATTCCCACCTGCTGTTCCCAGGACACTAGACTAATAACACCTGTCACTCCTGAGGGTTTTCTCTTGCCAGATCCCTAACATACTTCATCCTGTTGAAACCTGGCATCCTTCCACAAGGTAAGTAGCATTAGGATTCCTGTCATACATGTGAGGAAACTGAGTTTGGAGAGGTTAAGTAGCTTGGATCAAGTTAGTACAGTCAGAGACCTCACGTACTTACTACAGCACACTGCCTTCCTCCCATGGGTCCCAGCTGTGGGCTTGCTCTTCAGTCTACTCGTCGCCAACTGATAATAAGGTAAGTCATCTTCCAGAGGCCTGCTCACCATTTTAACATTTATCTCTCATTCATTCATTCACTCATTCATTCATTTTCATACAATATTGATTACCATTAGCTCTGAGCTAATACTGAGAAATGCAAATATGAATAAAATATGGTCCCTGCCCTTAATGAATAAGTCTCTAAGGGTAAGATTTCAGTCATGCTGACTGGCAGTGAAGGAAGGCAGCTTGGGTCGAGTCCCTCCTCCATATCCTTTGAAACAGACTATATAGCAATCAAACACTGCTGATAAACTGTGTGACATAAGTGAGCCCCTGAACCACCCTGGGCATGGGAATTAATAGAGATGATCTCTCAGTTCTAGGTTTGACTTTCCCTGGCTCTGCCTTCCCTTGCCCATGTCACAGGTGATGCATGGTATAAAAGAGCCAATCTAATAGCTCTAAAGAAGCCATCCATGAGCACTGGTAGATAGGCACCTTGTCTTATCTGATTTTAACCCCAGCTCTAAGCCTTGAATATGGCATAGAGCAGGTGCTCATTGATTGTGTGTTGAATGAAGGAAAAGCAATCTTTTGCAGGAAGGCCTGAAAAGATTTGTAATCCAGTCGAATAGCTCTATATCCAGGATTTTTTAAAATCTCATGAAGAATGAGTCCAGACTTCTGTTTCCAGACAAGATGGTGTAACAGAGACTAGATTTATCCTCCACTTGAAACAATAAAAACTCCAGACAAAATACATTTATAAATGGTTTTCAAGACCCTGGACATCAGGCAATGAAGGACAGGGCTGAGACTAGGGTGGGCTGAGTGAAGCTCCTATGGTGCAAAATCAAAAGACGTATTTACTCTCAGGTGCTAAGTCTGTATTTGAACAGCTCTGTAAGTGATGTCTTCTTAAGAGGGGTGTCATAAAATGAAGCTGAGTATCTGAATGTGATTACCTTCTAAACTTTTGCACCATAGAGGCTGCACTCACCTCACCCAAGGCCAAGCCCTGTTCTTAAGAGATTGGGAAGCCAACAAAATGAGCCCCATTATTGCCTAAAACGTTTTTAGGTCATGGCCCAGGAAGGGGAAAGCCAGGCAGAGCCTGACAAACTCCCTCAGTTGAGGAGACCCAACTATATGCTGCCTACAAGACGTGTACTTTCAACATAAAGACCTAGATAGGTTAAAAGTAAAAGGTCGGGAAAATATATACCTATACCATATTAACATGAGTCAAGAGAGAGCTGCATATTAACATCAGGCAAATTAGAATATGAAACAAGGAATATTAACGAAGATAAAGAAAGTCATTTCATAATGATAAAGAGGTCAATTCGTCAAAAGGATATATAATAACAGTCCTAAACACTTATGAACCTAATAACTGGCTTTTAAAATGATGAAGCAAAAACTGATTGATTGAACTACAAGGAGACAAATCCACAATCATATTCAAACTCTACCAATAATTAATGAAACAAGTAGACAGAAATCAGTTAAGTATACGGAAGTCTTGAACAACATTGACAACTATCTTGACCTAATTGACATTTACAGAACACTCCACTCAACAAAAGCTGAAGACACTTTTTTTTCAAGTGTACATGGACTATTTACAAAGACAGTCCATATCCTGGTCCATGAAACAAGTTTCAATAAATTTAAAAGGATTCAAGTCACACAAAGTATGTACTCTGACCCTAGTGGAATTACATTAGAACCAATAACAGAAAGACCTGTGGGAAATCCTCGAATATTTGGAAACTATGAACCTCACTTCTGAATAACCCATGGGCCAAAGGAGAAATGAAAAGGGAAATCAAAAACTATTTTGAACTAAATTAAAATGAAAGCACAATATATCAAATGTTGTAGCAGTACTGCATTTTGCAGTACTGGATATTGCTAAAGCAGTACTCAGGAAAACCACTTATAGCCCTGAACATATATATTAGAAAAAAAGAAAGGTCTCAAATCAATGACCTCAGCTTCTACCTTAAGAAACTAAAAAAAGAGGGCCAGCCGAGTGGCTCAGTTGGTTAAGAGCTCGCTCAAGAAGGCGAGCTCTGAGCAACAGCAGTTCGATGCCCAATCCGAGCTGAGCTGCTGCTGAGCTGCCAACAGGTGGCAGGATGGCTGAGCTAAATAAATAAATAAATAAATAACTAGAAAAAGAAAAGCAAATTAAACCCAAAATAAGGAAAAGAAATGATAAGGATCAGAGCAGAAATCAATGAAATAGAAAACAATAGAGAAAAACAACAGAGGAAATTCCAGAAACTAAAAATTGGTTCTATAAGAAGATCAGTAAAGACAGAAGACACAAAATACAATAAGGAATTTGAGAGGTGACACCATGACAAATTCTATAGACATTGAAAAGCTAATGAGAGAATGTTATGAACAACTTTATGTCAATAAACTTGACAATTTAGATGAAATGGACAAATTCCTTGAAAAACATTAAATATGAAAGCTCACTCAAGAAGAAATAGATAATATGAATAACACTATACCTATTTTAAAAATTGACCAGTTAAAAATCTTTCTACAAAACACATCTAGGCCCAGATGGCTACATTGATGAATTCTACCAAATATTTAAAGAAAAACTAAGACCCATTCTATGCAAACTCTTCCAGAAAATTGAAGAAGATGCAATAGTTCCTAACATATTCTATGAGGCCCGGATTTCCCTGATACCAAAACAGGACAAAGACATTACAAGAAAAAAAAATACAGGCTAATATCCCTCATGAACATAGATGCAAAAATTCTTTAGAATATTTTAACAAATTGAAACCAACATCATATATAAAACAAATAATACATCCTGACCAAGTGAGATTTTATCCTAGAAATGCAAG